GAGAGAGAAGAGGAGAGAGAGAGAGAGAGTATAAATATTTGGAATATTGTAAAGGCAACCAACAAACTAGATGCCCATTTGACAATGAACAAGATAAAAGAAGCCACAGTTAAATACATAGGTATAACCAGTCTGAAACAATCAATGCAGAATAAAAGAATGCCAGAATAATGATGCGGCAACGAAGTGAACTCACGTCAAAAATAGAAAACCATATTGCTCACTAGATTTCTGGTTTATGAAAAGAATCCCAAATACTAAATTGTTGCGAGAATGAGCCAAACAAACAATTCTAACTAGAAGAAAATGTTTAAGAAAGAAACAATTTCAATCAACCAGATTCCAGTCATCCATGCGAAACTGAAAGCACAGGTTATATTTAGATGTGAAATATTCTAATCTCAAGCATGACTGCAGCGCCATGCACATATTTGGTGCATATATTGCTTCTAATCACACTAAACTCGCGACCATGCTGCTTGTGTTTTTCTTAGTTGCACAGGAGAACGATATGACCCTTTTCATGGTATAATTCTTAGAGCAAGCTCCCTACTTCACATTCTTGACCCAAACATTTCACTCCATTCATATATTATATATTATGGCGATTTTCAGGCTTTGCTTCCTCCAAGATTTCTAACTCAACTCTCTTTGCAACCAAGTACCTACTCCCAGATTATGATTGTCATGGCAAGAATCTGCCCAGATTTTTCTCAGTAAACAGCAAGTAGTATAGTGTCCATGACCTGCCTCCTATCATCCTTACAAGGTACTCCTCTAAATTTGTTTGTTTCCTACAGAACACGGTTATCAAATTTGGCCACATAACACATTATGTAGCTGCATCGAAGCAGCGCAACCCTTAGCCGCATAAGATGCACCTGCCTAGGGGGCACAATGGCTGCATCCTTGCATCCTTTGAAGCCACACATGTGGACCTCCTCATGGGCAGAAATTGTGCTGACTTGCAGAGATAAAATTATCACCCCCACCCAAAAACTCCCAAAAAAAAGAAGAAAAAAAGAAGGGGGCAAATGGTTTGGGCGGTATCTAAAGCCCCCAAAATCCCTTAAAACCAAAATTTATTTGTTCTAAGAATATAAAAAATTCCAAAAAATCAAATCATTTTTTCAATTTTGATCTTTCCGGCAAACATCATATATCTATCTAGCAACATCTCGAGTTGATTTTATGGTCTCATTTGAAGGATCTTGGGTGCATATCCTCAAGATATCAAGGTTTCAACTTAGAGGGAGATTAAACCAAGAAAATGAATTTTCTTTTGATTTTGAAATGAAAAAAAAAATTAAGTTTCCTAATATACCTCATTGACAACTCTCTTTTTTCAGTCAATGTCTTCATCTTATATAAGTCTAATTGCCTAGTATCTTTTTTCCCGATGTCTTCATCTTCTTCGAGTAACAAAGATCCAACATGGAAATATGCGAAACTCCTCGACACTAGACATCAAAATACTATTTATTTACATGGATACGAGTGTTCGTGTCTAAGTCTAAAGTGTCTAGTTCTTTGGATCAAAGTAGTCAGTATGGCCCTGAAATGTACATACAAGTAGTTATATAAAATTTCATATACATTAAATATATAAAAGTTCCAAAAATTTACTAAAAATACACCACTAAAATATATAAAATATAAAAGAAACTATTTCGTGTAAGAAAATTCAAAATCCGTTTTATTTATGCAATTTCATTTTTTCCCTTTTCAAAGTAATGCTTTTTTTAATGACTATTACTAATAAGATTTCCAGAAGCCATATATGTAGTAGCCATTGTTGTAGTGGCAAACAACATGCTTTGAAGTTAAGAAATTGCATGTTCAAACCCACAAACTTCACCAGCATTTTTTATATCAAGATACGTTATGCCTAATAAGTCAATATTTCATGTCAGACACGTTAACGCAGCTATCAGAGTACTAGTGAAGATAGCACGTACAAGGCATTGTCACATAGTGGCAACCTGCGACAAAAGGAAAAAATGAAGTACACATCTAGCACAAGAGATTTTACTAACAAAGAAAGCAACCTGTTGGTATTCCAAAGAATTTAAAGGCATATCCAAAAGCAAAAGAGGAAATTAAAAGTGAGATTAAAGCATTTGTCGAAAGCCAAAGACAAACAATTAAAAGAAGTATTGAAGCATCATGAATTGTATAATGAGGCCTAGAGATTCAATATTCCATGATGAAGATGATGATGGTTGGAAGTCGTCGTAAAAGTAACAGGGAGAGGATGATTATATAGGTAACGGTATGCAAAATAGACAAATAAGGCCAATGGATACATTTTGCACCCGAAACCCCAAGACTATGGCGAACTATAGTTGTAAGAAACACATAATTCTGAATCGTTTTAAGAGATGATTCCTATTGCTGGAAACACCGTCAACAGAATGCGTATCACATGAAGCAGGAATCCTACGATGTTCAATACGAATCGAGATTCCACCTTATTGAAATCATAGTTCCATCAACTTGGAATTGGGATTCCCAACTTACAGGAATCACACATCAAACCACTTGGAACCAACCCAACATTATCAACAAACGAGTTCCAAAAGGCAAAGATTTAAGGTTTTAGATTATTTATAAGCAAGAATTCCTTTGTATTGGACTCCACATATTGAGCACGCTTAACCAGGGCTCCCCTATTATTGGGATCAATGTCTTTGACAACCCTCCCTTAACATTGGAGTTGATGCATTGAGTGCCTTTTATCATAGTTCGCCAGGAGTATTGGATGATAAGCAAGAGTGGGCCGAGCAATGGGGAAGAATAGTTGTGTGTGTGTGTGTGTGTGTGTGTGTGTGTGTTGTTTGGGGTGGTGGGGAGGGAACAAACAAGACCCAACAAGAGGGACAACGAGTTGTTAATGAGCAAGATGATGAAGCCTCCAATAACAATATGGCAGCTCCAGGAGCTGCGGTGACAGGCAAGAGGGGGCCGAGGATGAACGTGGTGGAGGTGGAGGTTGGCATGAGGGGAGGACTAGCATTAGAGACTTTGGATTAGGGACCAACCAACCATACAAGCATTTGGGCGCCACTACCAAGACAGCCAGGCTAATTATAACCCTCCATGATATTCATATTGGCTATAGACGGATGTTTAGCATTGGAGTGCCTCTTTTTTTGGTCATTATGTGTCTATTATGAACTGTCTACACTCTAGAAAACCATGTACGTATTTGACTCTGTCGCTAATTCTTTGTGACTCCGCTACTATAAGCAATGTATTTGGTTGCTGAATGTTGGAGTTTAGTCATATGAATCTGCAACAGAAATTATAGAACCCCCAAATGGAACATTAAAAATTCAGCGAGTTTAAACCAAACATACAGAGGGAACCCTATCTACAAAAGGAAATTAACATTTCATCAATTTCATATTACATATAATTTTTCAGAATTTTGTGCGATATATCTTTTATTATTCCCCCTTTTTTTTGGGATTTTCCCTTTTCTTCTTTTCTTGTACTTGAACAAGACTACGAGTCAACTTGGGACCCCAGGTCAACTCACTCTAGGCAATGGCCCAGTCCTGGAGGAAATCCATGATTTAAAACAATGCATGGAACCAAAAAGCTTCCCATAAGTATTATAAGAACCAGCATGGTGTCCTAGACTTTCAAGTTTATGAGATGTATATATGTCATTTACATGTCTTCAAAGCACTTACATATGTTTTCCCTACAATATATACAATTCCAAAAACTTTTTCTAGTAACTTAAGTACAACTTAAGAAGCATTGAAATGAAGCTTCATTCATGGACATAGAAATGCATATTTCTCCAAACATAATAAGTAATATACCATTGCAAGGTCAAAAAGAAAAAAACAATGAAATGGCATCCCTCTATAATTAGAAGAAAACCTATGGTTGTCATTGGAACACTTACGTGTGATGGGAGATGGTGCAGGTACGCAAGAATACGGCATCCTTAGCAACGATGACGATATACGTGTTTCATATGCACTGATGAACATAAAGTACCAAAATATTTTTCCAGCTCATCAAATTCCACACATACTAGTCAATAGAATCATTCATCACACCAAAAAGAACAACTGAAAACCATAGATTTTTTGTTTGGGAATAGAAAATTACCTCTGGTAGAAGTTTGCAAAATGATCATCCATGGAAAGGGGACACAAGGTACTATTAGGCAACAATACAACTTGCCAAAATCCCAATATTGGTTGAATTTTTACCTTACGAAACCTGACCCATTGACATGTAGTTTGTAATTGTTGGAGTAAATCATCCAACGATTTGCCAATAGATACCCTCACCACCGATCCTATAGATGGAAATGTAGATAATACATCCCTTGGCAGAAATGGCTCTGATTGTAATGAAGCATTTTGCTCTGCTTCAATATCATGACTGACAATGAGATGGCATCAGGATCCTTAAATTGAACAAGAAGACTAATAATAAAACCACTTGACATTCAAAACCCCATAATTCCTCCTAAAAACAATGAAATGCAGATTTACGGAGGAAAAGAATACCATAATCAGATGGACTACGGAAAGGCACAGTTCATTGAGGTTATCATCGTCTGGTGAAATGATGATATTGATGGAGAGAGAGTAGGACCCACCTATGGGGATCATGTCCTGTTCTGGTGGTCCCACTATCCATCACATGCCATTATTCAAAGAAATTGTCTACAAAGACGCCATTTATCTTTTGTACATGGAGATCACAATCATTCTTGAACCTTAAATTTCAAAATGGGTGGTTGTAAGAGTGTTATTGAATAGATACAAAATTCCCGAAAAAAAATTCCCAGACTTTGTGACTCATCCCAAGCCATCTAATTTGACATTTAATGAGTGGGAATGATTGCGACCTCCATGTACAAAATATAAACGGTCTCTTCGTAGACAATCCCTTATTTAAATTAGTGTTTTAAAACACTACTCAAGCAGCAGACTTGGTACCTTCCCAGGCTAATGATTCAGGCAAGCTGGCTCAAAGTAAACCCATATCAGGCCCAAGTGATAAAAGGAAAGCAAAAATTATAAAAATAAAATAAAAATTTAAAAAATATATATAAGAACATTCATACATAACAAAAAAAAAAACATAAAATAAGGTACAGGGATAAATTGATGTTATTGGCTTGAAAAAAATCTAAAAAATGGGAATTTCAAAAAAAGCATAGAAAAAAGTATACACATAATAATTTATGAATCAACTATATTTGATTTAGCAAAAAATAATCAATTTTATGATTTTAAAAAAAAATGAAACACACCCAAACTTTCGAGGCTGATCCCCCGATCTTTGATATCAATGCAAATCAATGCCTCCAATCCTTGTCAAAGCTTACTCGAGCAACTAAATCAAAACCAATTTTGGGTTTTGAGTTCAGATCACGAGATCCAAGCTCTTGAAAAATTTTGATGGATAGTAAATCCAGACTTCAAATCTCTAAAAATCCTAATATGCTTGTATTATCCTTGGAAATAAAGCTATGATTGGGTCAAGAACACAAAAATCGGCTTAGGTATCAAATTTCATTAAAGATTGGCATCAATTGCAAAAAGAAATCATAATTTCCAAAATCAGCCAAAAACTTGACCGAGTTTTTCAATCTCTGATTTTTTTTTTATCAAAACTATTGCTTCTAATAGCTAGATCAGGCTAAAATCTATTGACTCAAATGGGCACCCTAAACCAAAAAAAAAAAAGCCTAGATAAGAAGGGGTGCAAATTTTGCCCCCCTTCTAAACTTATCAGTGTAAAGTATGGGACGACTACTGCAGCAGCCGGCCCCCAATACTGTGAAACTCAGGTGAATCAGCCTGAATTTCACAGTGCTCCAGCGAGTTTGTATAACACTCACCCAAGTATATTACAAGGTACCCTTAAATACCTCATTCCAGGCTCAGCAGGCTGCTAAGCCTGAGTAACTCGACTGAGTCCAAGTCCACTCAGGCGAGACTATTAGCACTGATTTAAATTGAAGGTGAGGAGTCCACTGATTTAAATTGAAGGTAAGGACTCCACTGGACAAGGGTTTTCCATAGAGGCATAGACTATAGTAAACTTTCCCTAATACAAATACCAACATTATACGAAAAAAGCAGACATATTATGGAGGCATTCCACACGCATGCAAATTAAACTAACAAATCAAAGATGTATGTGAAATACAAAGATTGGATACTAGGACAGCCCATAAGTTTCACAGTAGAACGCTTACTTTGTCTCTAGTGGTATAGGAGGAGTATCTGTCCCATCCCACAGAACAACAACTGTCTCATCTTCAGAAACTTTACATATATGAAGAATCTTCTCCCCAACAAGCAAAAATACAAAATCGACTTAGTACAAAAGCACGTTTATATCTTTAGTACTATACAAGATTATAAACAGTGAAACATGGGATTACCTAGCAAACAAGATCCCAAACAAGCAAAAATACAAAATCGACTTAGTACAAAAGCATGTTTATATCTTTAGTACTATACAAGATTATAAACAGTGGAACATGGAATTACCTTGCAAACAAGATCACAATATTTCCCATGACAGATGCCACTGAACTGAGTCAAATATTTGTCATGGCCTACACAAGCGAACACATCATTTTAAGATCTCAAATGAAACTATTTTGCTACTCCTAAATATAAAAACACAAATTCCATGTAATGCGTTTGACAAGAAAACCTCTTAGAAAACAATTTGAAGACAACTTTTGGATCGAATGGAAAGACTATCGAATACAATTTTGGACGGGGATAACACTGTTAGTCGAATGCAGATTTTTTGGGTATATACATTGAAATTACTTAAGGCAACAATCAATGAATTATTGTTGTCAATAACTATTCTGGACCACATAAATGAAATGATTATTTAGTGCCTAAATCGCATCAATCTTATGTTTATCTAACTTTCAAGGAACCCAAAGATGGTTCGGTCATGTAAGGAAACAGATATTCATAATCCAAGAGCTTCCAAATCAACACTTTTTATCGAAGGGTGAAAATCTCAAAGAACTACAGATGTTTTGACATAGCAACAATGAAAGTATGTATGAAAGTAATGATAAAAGAATCCTTGTCAGGGAATATCCATGATATAAGACATGGACGCCTCGACAATCATTTCTAAAAAAAGAGGCATGTGGTGCAATTTGTAATCTGGAAGTGTTAAAGGTTTCTTTTTATTTTCGTTGATATTTGGAGTTGAAAGTTTCACACCAACCAACCTTACCAAATCTGTGAACTTCCCACACTTCCCAATTTCTTAGAATAATGTTGGCATGATATTTAACTCATACGGGCTTTGACCAGCTAACTCTACCATTGCCAGTCCCAAGACCAGATAAGCGAGGATGATTACTTTAGGTTAGCAGCCAGCAAAAAACTTTTGCCACATCCCTATCATGAATCCTGATCCATCATATATCAATGTTAGGGTGTTCCCTATAAGTTATATGTTGTACCGGCACCGGGGTGTAGTGAGAAATAGGCAAGAGTTGGCTAGGGCTTCCTTGGAAGTGAAGCGCCTCAATGACACCAGGATGAGATGATAAGTAGGCAAGGGTTCATGTGCTATTTTGGATGAAAGAGGGTAAAAGAACAAGTTTAAGAGAATGGAATTCATCTGGTCATATGAAATGTAAAGACTCTCTCAAGCAAGAGTATGGAGTTAGTGGATACAATGAGACAAAGGAGACTTAACATAGCTTGTTTACAAGAAACTAAGTGGAAAGGGGTAAAAGCTAAGGAAATTGATAGATATAAATTTTTGCATATAAAAAAGAATAGTAATAAAACTAGCGTAGGTATACTAAAAGACAAAGATTTAAATGATAGAGTAGTAGATGTTAAAAAAATAGGTGATAGGCTCTTATTAATTGAACTTGTATTATAAGTGTTGGGATTTTGTTGAATTTAAAGCCCGTGAGAGCATGCAAATAGAAATTAGAGTGGATTATGCACTTCAGTGGGAGTGCATGTGTTGGTTAACTAACTTGTGGCCAACCAATTTATGGCCCTGATCATGTCCAAAACACTTACCTCTGGGCATATGACACTACCATTGAGGATTTCTAGAGGGTCATCCGTTGTTGAGGTCAGAGAGATGCCTAATGATAGTTTATAGGCAAGCTTTGTGGTCTCTTGTCTGTAGTAGGAAGCCTCTAAGAGCAAAGGCTAAATCCTCAACAAACTTATGCACAACTGGTACACATGATAGCCACATTCTGGAAAGCAACCATGTAAAGGCATACATGTATATGTGCATAGAAAGAGTCCCCCTTGCACTATAGTGTTGATCTTAAAGGGGAACATGTAATCCATATTCCGAGATTGCAGTTTTACTATTTATTGGCTAGATTTGACTAACCAATTATAAGCCCTGGCAAGAGACATAGGTCATGGTCTCATTATGTTGGTTTGATAAGATAGTCAAGGATCACGATTACTAGGTTGTGTGGAGTGCCTTGACAATTACGTTTTCTTGACCCATTGGTACCAATCCACTTTAGATATTTTTTCAGCTTAAGAGAAGGTTTTTTGTGAATTTTAAATATTTTATAATATTTTTTAGAGTTTTCTCAAATTAGTTTATTGCTCAAAACCCTAAAAAAGGCAGTGTTGTAAATTCCAAAATTCCAAGGCCATTGTGGGACCCATGATGGGGGGAGAAGGCCTAGTCCCACACAGTGGGGCCTCATATGGGTGTGGGATGTGGGTCCCATATGGCCCACACATCTATGTGGAGTGAGGATGCCCATGTCTTTTCTTTAATAAGTACTAATTAAGTTTAATAATCTTTTAATAAAGATATAGTTTGTTAGAGGAAATCTTGAGAAAAATTTTGAGAAAGATTTTGTGGCCATATTTTGTGGAAATAGAGAATGTTTTCCATTTGGAAAACATTATTTTAATTTTTCATTTTGACCAAATCTTTTTTTATTATGACCTCCAACAATCTTTTTGTGAGAGGAAAGGAAATTCTAGTCAAAATAGAAGACGAGACTGACTGAGCTTATCCTAAGTTGACCAAAAGTGGATGTAAGTCAAGAATTCAAATGATAAGGTTCCCAGATTCCTCCCTAATCATGACAATGATTTGTTGGATGGATAGCTCAAATTTGTTTCTCTCACCTCATAGATTACCTAGGCGACATATGGCCAAGAAGAATTCCAATTCAGATAAGCATATTTGGACCCCTTGAAAGTTATAAAAAGAGGGAAGCCCTCCTCATTCTGACCACTTGATTTATTAGCCTCTCTCTCCCCCCCTCTCTCCTCCATGTTCTCTCTCTTTCTCTCTCTAAAAGAGGTGAAGGTGGCATGCACCACCAAAGTAAACTTGGTGTGGCATGTCCAACCAAAGACGAGAGAGGGGCACACTCAAGCTGAAAAAGAAAAAAGGAGGTGCCTTATGGCATGCCCTATGAGTCTTAAAGGGTTACAGAAAACCCTAGATCTCACATATGCTCTTTTAAACCCCAAGGTTTGAAAAAGGTATTGCCTAAGGAGCTTCCCGACTCAAAGAATTCAGCAGGGCCAATAGGATCAAAGTGCGTCATCCGCGAAGTAATCACGGTGGGATGTATCAAGTCCTAAGAGGATAACCTTAGGCAAAGCTGAGTAAGTCTTCTTGGTTGTTCTTAGTTTATTTTTCAGTCATTATTGCTATTTGTATTACAATTTTTAGGAACATCATTTGCATTAGAAAGAATAAAAGTTTGTATCCAGGTCCATGGATTTATGGCCTCACTGAGAGTATGGCCTTTAATAGAGCAAAATAGCGGATCATGATTTATGTAGCCGACCCTAATTAATTGGGAAAAGGCTATGATGATGACGATTCAGCCCTTGGATTGAGTTGTGTTTATTTAGCCCTAAAAAGAAATATCCTAGGTCGTATATAGTGTTGATTTTCTTATTTACATTATTATTTTGTGGTACTAGTAAACGGAACTCAGTTATATTAATAAAAGAAAAGGGAAAATTTTTATTTTATTTACAGAATTTCACATTGCCACTTCTTTCAAGGATATGAGATGATTAATGTAATTAGTGCTTATGCGCCACATGTAAGATTAGATGATAGAATAAAACGAGAATTGTAAGAGGAAATGGATGGACTACTCTAAGGAATACCAAATGGAGAGGAGATTTTTAGGAGGTGACTTAAATGGTCATGTAGGAAAAAATACTAAAGGATATGAAAGGGTAAATGGAGGATATGAATTTGGGGAAAGAAACGAGATAGATGATGCTATTCTTGATTTCACTACGGCTAACAATCTAACAATAACAAATAATTACTTTAAAAGAGAGAGATGAAAAATTAATCACGTACAAAACTAGATCATATAAAAGCCAGATAGACATTTTTCTATTAAGAAGACAAAACGATCATCATATAAAGAGTGTAAGATTATCTTGAGAGAGTTTGACCCCACAACATAGACTCATGGTTATAGATGTTTGAATTAAGAGATAAAAGGAAAAGAGTGACATTAATGGGTGTCCAAGAATTAGGTGTTAGAACTTAAAAAGGGACAAAAGAGACTTATTTAGGAATAAATTGTAAAATAAGTTTTAAGAGAATCTAGAGGAAAAAGACTTTCAGAAAAGGAACTTAGTAGTAGAATGATGAGGTTCAAAAGGTTATTAGAGAAAAATGAGCATTTTACAAATTATAGTAAGATAATATAAATGACCAAAATTTAGAAGAATGTAAAAAAGGCAAGAAGAACGTTAATAAAATAGTAAGGCTAAACTTAAGGCATATAATGATCTATAGAATAAATTGGGGACAAGAGACGGTTAAAATGATATCTTCAAACTAGCAAAATTGAGAGTGAGGAAGTATAGGGACTTAGATCATGTTAAATGCATTAAGAGTAAGGACTAGAGGGTGTTGGTGAAGAATGATGAGGCCATTAAAAGGTGAAGAATATATTTTCATATATTGTTAAATAACGAACACTTTGGAAGCTCAGAATTAGGAGCAACCGTTGACATAAATGAGAGTGGGGTTATAGATACTTTCATAAAATTAGGATATCTGACGTGAAAGAAACTTTGAGAAAAATGAAGATAGGAAAGGTTCTACGACCAGATGGTATATTCAGTAGAGGTTCGAATGTGCATGGGAGAGATTGGCATATTCTAGTTGATAAAGTTGTTGAACAAAATTTTGAGAACAAAGAAAATGCTAGATGAATAAAGGCAATGTACTATGGTACCTATTTACAAGAACGAAGGAGACATACATAAATGTACGAACCATAGTTGTTGGAAACCCCTGAGAATCTGAATCGTATTAAGAACCGGAATCACATAATCACTACCGGCTAGAATATTCCTATCTTAAGAATTGTTGTCCGTACAATAGGAATCGTGGGGAACGAGATTCCTAGTTTTTGAGAATCGTGTTTCAACCGAAATATATCCAAGTTTCATCCACATATGGACTCAAGATTCCGTCCTCCTTGGAATCGAGATTCCCATTACCCTAGAATCAACACTCCAGGAGTCAAGATTCATTAATATGCACAATCAAGTTTTCGACATCTATGGAATCGAGTTTACGATA